GGTCGACCAGCAATCAGATTGAGTGCAGTGACCAGCGCGGAATTAGTCGCCGTTTACCACAGGCCACAACATGTAAGGACTCGCAGCAGCATAGTGACGTTCGGATAACGCGTCTTATTGGCTAATTTAGCAGACGGACACTCGCTGAAGACAGAAAACCAGTCCATGACTATTTATGCCGGTTTTAAATACGGAGATGGTGACGGCAAAGGTGTCGAGGAGACTCCCCTCAAAAGTCCACATACTCGGCCTGTTCCATAGTGAAAAGCTTTACATGCCGCGGGAGACGTCCGAGCGGTCCTTGGGGAAGGCATTATTTAAAACCGCGGGTGTCGACCAGTGTGCCAGGTGTTCGTCTAGCTCAGCATTGAGATTGCCTCGGGCAATGTACTCAAACTAAAACCAAAATTCGGATCTTACTCGTCTGAATGTGACGTTCAACCTGTTTTGCCTTTATCGTCCACACCCCTCGATTATTGATTGCTCGTTGCTATGCTACCGTATGTGGACTCCAGAGCAAAAGAGAGCATTCGCATTCCGCCAAACTAGACGACTTAAGCACGGACATTAAAAATTCTTCCCTCGAACCAACGCCCAGCAATTAATGGGTTGGCAGAGCTGAGGCTCTTTCACCGAGTCCTGAGCATGACGAGGATGTTAAATTTCCACAAAGAGGCCCTCCGGATTGTTCCACGTCTTTTTTGCGAAGTGAGGCCACCACTGTTAGTGGCAGATGAAATTACCGGGCAGCTTAGAGAACCTTGAAGTTTTATGTATGCTAGTTAAGGACGAAAAAACGTCTGCACAGCACTGTCTCTCGAATCGACACTGCTCGTAGGATTTCTTTCAATCTTTTCAAAGCGTCTGTGGATCCTACGCGACATCTACCGTGACCACAAAGATGTGCGTATCCGTCCGGGTGATGCCCTGGACGTTGGGCTTTATGCATGGAAGATAAGGGAAAACTGGAGGTATTTGGCCACCCTCGAGAGAAGTACATCGACTTTAGATCAAACGTGGCAGTTCATACTTTTTGTGACATTATCGCGAGGATATCTCAGGCCACTCAAGAAAGGCAGCAGATGTGGCTTGAAAACGTTCTTTGCCGTCTGCCTCACGAGCACAGTTCTACTGCCCTCGATCCCACGCCGCTGCCCGCCTGGAGACATGTAAGAGAAGGGAAATTCAAGA